CGCGCGCCGCGCCCCCAGCCGCGAGCGACCGCCCTCCCCAGATAGAGAGCCGGGGGTTCGAGGCCCCGAGACTCCGGAGGAGGAGCCGACGCTGGTCCCTGAGCTGATCCCGCCCCGGCCCTGGAGGGATTCCCGGGTCCCCTTCCCACGGCCCGTGGACGCTGACGAGGTTGCCCCCGTGCCTGCTGGGGGCTTGGCCGCCGGCTCCGGGACTCCCCGCTGGCCGACTTTCTCGACTTTGCTTTGGGACACCGCTGGTTTGGCTGGCACCCGCATCCCCTCTTCTCGACCCCTTCCATCGGATGTTCTGGATGACTGAATGGAGTTTTGAGTTGGACTTCTGTGTCCCCGACGGAGTTGGGCCTGATCCCAGAGCACTGGGGGTGGGGTGGCGGTGTTCCTGTAAAATGCAAGTTGGATAAAGGAGGACCTCTCGCGAAGGGCCCCAATGAGTGGCTCACAGCCCACTATCACCGACAGGTGGGTACGCAGCCCCTGCGGCCGCCTGCGCTCGCCCACCTGGCCGGGGAGCAGGGCGCTGGCCGCGGGCCGGCGGTGTTGACAGCCGGAGGAACGCGGCTGGTTCGGAGCGGTGCGGCTGGGCTGGCGGTGCTGCCGGGGTCTCGAGTTGATGGACTCTGGGAATGTAGTTCTTCTGGAGAGACTCCCTGCCCCAGGTTCTCGGAGAAGGGGCCGGGCAAACGCTGATGGCGTTCTGGTCTGCCAGTGCACATCAGGGGTCTGCGCTCATCTTGGGAGCGGGGAGGGTCACTCGGGGTGAAGGTCAGGGCCTGGCGTCGTTTGGACACTGGCACGTCATCAGTGTAACTCCTGTCCGGTTGTATTTTAGGACTTTCTGCCTGTGGACTTAATGCTGAGCCGGTCGCCTCGCCGGTGATCTGTAAACTTGATCTCTTTTAGGTGTTGACCTGCCGAGTGTTTAATGATTAGCTAATAATTTTTCAGGATGGGGACGTTAGACATCAGGGGCTCTCGCTGGAGGCAGTACCCCGGAGCTGGAAGACTTAAGGGATAAATGATAGGGCTTGCTTTTAATTATATTTTAAAGATTTCATGGACCAGAAACACTTGCTACGAAGGGCTCCAAACCCTAACCGTAGTGCAGGTGTGGCAGGTGGGTTTGCACACTTGTGTGAGTCCTGCCCGCTTCTCACTGGTGTTGCACAGTACTGTGTGCTCAAGTAAGCTCGAGGACTTAGGTGTTTGGAGTTTTCTGACCCTTAAGTCATTCTTTTGACTAGTTTAAGTGATAAAAGCATATTGATTTCTTTGCTGCATCTTATTTATTAGTTTAATTATAATAGTTTATGCTAGTCCCAGACTTCAGTCAGCTTGCTTTATTTTTAAGTTGACTTTCAAACTATTACATCATTTGGAAAAAATAGACCAAATAAGTGAATTAGAGGGGGCCAGAGTGCTTTGATGAGAAAGGCAACAGGAGTGCCACTCCAGAACATAGCTTAATTTCCTAATAAGAGCGTTTCACCCAATTGTAAGACTCGTTTGTTGATTTTAAAAGGGCCAAATTCCATTATCGTACCATAACAGCTACTCCAGAGACAGAACTTCCTCTTCCTGTTGATTCTTTCCAGTGTCACATGAATGTTCACCTAAAAGATTCCATTAAATATTTAAACTGTTTATATTTATTCTTTGTATATAGTTTAATGAGTTTTCATTTTCAGAGAAATAATTTTAAATTGTTCTGAAAATGTGGCTAACACCAATAGCCACAGTGCTCAGGGTGCATTCTGGGTTATCTCCATCCCTTTTCCTTCTCAGGGTGTTCTGCTTCTCAAAAATCACTTTCCCAGGTGTGTGGATAGTTGTTTTCCTGGTTCATTCAGTTCTTTCCCTTCTGTTGAGCCTGCAGACAAGAAGTTTTGCTCAGGACTAAGGTAGTGCTGGTTTTCATTGCAGCGCAGCGTGTTTGATTTGTAGAGACAGAGCTTAGGGTTGCCAACTCACTCAACACAAAAAACGTTTCAGAGCTCCCTAAGTAATAGTTTTTCTTCCGCTTTGCCTCTCAGGGATTTTCTTTCTCTTTCTATTATCTTGGAAATAAAATTGGGTTGTATCGTTTCAATAATTGAGATGGCACGTAAACATTCGACAGGCATGCAAGTCAGAGCCTGTTCCTTGCCAGGCACTGTGCTGGGCTCAAAGATGAGATGATCCGTATTCTGAATTGAGTCTGCAAATTGGTCTGGGCATGAATATTCTTGAACTGATTAGGTACTCTTTATATATATATATATTTAAAGAAAAAACCTTGAAAAGTGCTTAATAAGCACTACTGAGATTTGTTTCCTAGGAATGTATAGGGTGTTGGGAAAGTCATGCATACTTTTCTGTTTTCTATGCAAAAGTGCATCGTGACTCTCCAGACAACCCAACCCAACATTACTGTATGTTCTAAATGAGAATTATTCTTACGGGACCATTACTTTTCTTCTTCTCCTTGTTCTTCTTCTTGTCGTCTTTCTCCTCCTCCTCGTCCTCTTCCTCCTCCTTCTTCTGTGGATATAAACCACGCATTTGCTCTTTAAGGGAGTTGCTCTTCCCGATGTGACTGTTGGGGTGAAACCTGGACGTACTGGTTCAGTAGTATGTCTGTGCCAGGGTGCCTTACGGAAGTTATGAATATGGAAGAGTTTCTAGCTTCTTCTCAGGCCTCCCTGCCTCGTTCTCTCTCCTCGCTGTCTCAGGCCAGCGTACTGTAGGTATATTCTGTTCATTCTAGAGCTACTGGCACATGAACAGGGCCCGTGTAGCTTTTTAGAGATCCTTTCAAGTCTGAAGTGCTGTGTGTGGTGTGGCTTTGTTTTGCAGAGTGCAGAACCGCCAGGCCAGCTGTGTGAGCTAGGGTTCTCTCATTGTGGCGCTTCTGACTACAGAGTCTGTCTGTCCCTGCTGAAATCAGACTAGCTGCTTTAGGGCGTTGCTCTGTTTTGCAGTATGCGGCAGGCGACACATGGCTGAACAAGATAAGAAGGGTTTTATTCTTGTGTTAGGGACGTGCTGGGGCTGGGATGGAATTCAGCCTGTGCTTAGGCTCTGATTGGTCACTGCGGATACTCAGAACTCTGTTATATCCTGTCATTATTCCGCAGTTACATTAACTGTTCATTTGCTCCCTTTCTGTTCACCTCCTACGCCCCTGCCCTCAAACTCCTTTTTAAAACTTTAAACTGAAACTTCTCTTAAAACGTCAAACTCAAACTATGTTCAGGGTAGTTGTTTTTAATGTAGCGTTAGATATTTTACCAGCTTAAAAATAAAAGTCTAAGCGACTGGGCCTCCTCTCCAGTCTCCTGCTACTGAACTTCTGTAAAGACCCGGACACTCCAATGTTCCTGTTTAGAATGCAGACCTGAGAAGCAGAGGTATCTGGCTGCTGTCTAGCGATCTGTATTCATTGCTGCCTTCCGTCCTAAAATAGACCCTAATCGAACCCAAAACGTCCTCTTAGATTTTCCTTCTCCTCTTTGAGAGATTAGGGGTCCTATGGCAATTAGAACTTCTGAAAGAGGAGAGAATATTCTTCCGGTTGATGCTGTAACGATTTCTAGTAATGAATATTCAGGGCCAGCACAGGTAGAAATGTTATAAGGGTCTTCCTTGAAATAAATAGACCTTTGTTTTGTCAAGGGCTTACGGATTTTGTTATTTTTTAATGTCTAGATAAAGGTTTAGATGTAATGAAGTCTTCTTAGCACTGAATTTAGCTGTCAGCTTATTTGACTTAAGCAAACTTTCAGAGTTAGTGTAGAGACCCGTGACTTTACATGGACCTCTGTCCTGTAATTAATATTTTCATTCGTGGTACTTTTTCTGCCCAAACTGCCATATAATGCTTTCAATTAAAACATTTTTTTTGGAAGTAATTCATGTTTGTGTACTATTTTCAAGGTTGAATGACTCATCTGCAAGGTGACATGTATTTGAATATTTTCTGGTAAAGTCAGTGAACTGATAAATACAAAGTTGAAATTGGGGCTGTCACAGTGCCAGCTTGGTATTCAGTTTTAGTCTTGTCTCTTGTAGTTGTTTGGTATGAAATCTCGATTCACACAGGTATGCACTAGTACCTTCACTTGTATAGTTTTATGTGAGTCAACATGTAAAGACAAAGGAATTTTTCTAAAAAGTACTGTAGTTTTCCTGAGTAGTGGCATGTTAGTAAGATGTTCATATATGTTGGGATTACAAAAGAAGCTTTATTTGAAATTATTACAAAAATATGTTAACCTGGTGCTATCATTTAACACGTTGGTGGTTTCTAGTTGCTAATATGTGGTATGTAACATTGAGTTAGCATGTAGGATTTTCTTCCTTTTTTCTTTTTTAATTGCCAGAGGGTGTGTGTTTTAGCCACAGTGGTGGGAGGCTGTGGATGGGGAGGGGAGGGGAGGAAGCACCTCCCAGTGGGGCGTGAACATGCTGCACCCCCTTCTCTATTTCTCCTCTTAGGATTTTGGACACCCCCATACCCATGCCTGGCATGTTTTTGAAACCATCGAGGTCAAGGTCAAGATGTGAACTGTGGTGGGCCATGTGGGATCTATCTCCCTTACCCACTAGGCCATGTGGCCTAGTATTTTATTTTTAACTAACTTAAACTTTTCAATTAAAAAAATGAAATCTGAGGGGCCAGCAGGTGGTGTGGTGGTTAAGTTGCTGGACTCCCACATGGCTGACCACAGTTCGAGTCTAGGACCTAGCAGCTTGTTTTCTCACTTTCTCTTTCTCTGGTCAAATAAAATAATAATAGTCAATAAAATACACTTTAAAAAATGAAATTTGAGGCAAACATTCAGATAACCTATAAATGGCAGGTTTTACATATTAGTCCATGGATCATTGTAATTCCAGGCAAAACAGAAAATTTTTGAGTGTATGTATGTGGTTGCTTCTAAAAGTCATCCAGAAATGCATATGAATTAATTGCCTTTAAAGGTGTGGTGAGGAGAAGCAGTGGGATATGCTAATGGTTCTCCAGCCTTGTGACACTGATGATGTTTCAAAGGGTTATTTGAAGACCTGTCCTTTCCCCTCCTCCTAAGTAGGAATCTTTAAAATAATGCCATTTGAATTGAAATTTTTTTCAAAAAAATTATTTTATATTTATTTTATTTAAAAAACTTTAATTTATTTATTTTAATTTGACCAGAAAGAGAGAGGGAGAGAAAGAGAGAGAGAGATATGAGAAAGCAAGCAGCCAGGTCCAGGACTCGAACCACCATCAGCCATGTGGGAGTCCAGCACCTTAACACCACTCCAACTGTGGGCCCTTGAATTAAAGTTTTAAAATCAGTGAAATATTTTGCTTTCTCTTGAATAAAATACTTCCAAGTATGTAATATCCTATGGCAATATATTTAATCGTTGCAGTATTTCCAATTCAGTGCACAAGAGAGCATGTCTTTACGCTGTAAGGCAGTTCGTAAAGTTGAAGT